CTCTATACAAAACTCTTCCAAAACATTGCACAGGGAAAAATTTTGCACCTTTTTGAGGCTAAGTTAGTTCTGTATAGAAACCGAACAAGGATATTATAAGAAAGGAAAATTATGGGCTAACATATTCCTTGAGAATAGATGCAAATATCCTAAGGGACACGTTTCTGAACAGAACGCAGCAATATATAAGAATAACACTACATGATGCCCAAGTGGGACTTATTTTAGTATATGCAGGGCTGGCTTAATACTCCAAAATCTACTAATGAAATTCACTGCATTAATGGTTCACAGGAAGGTCTCCACAGATGCAGAAAAGGCATTTGACATGCCAATTCAATTGAGATAAACAAGAAAATCAGGCATAGAATGGAATGTTTCTAAAACATGTGTGTATTCTCTCTTCCATTCATCAGTATGATAAGGCCAAACAAACAACAAACAAAAACAGTAGAAGATTGGAAATGAAGTAAAACTTCTGTATTAACTGATGATGCTTGTGGTCAGCCCAGGGGAAGGCTAGAGGTGGCTACTAGGAGGCCGTAGGGGGCTAGCAGCACTCTGTCCTCATCCAGGGGTGGTCGCCCAGACATCCAGGGGTGGTCGCCCAGACACATGCTTTGTGTTAAACCAAAAAAAAAAATTTTTTTAAATTTTAAAAAGCACCAAAATAGTTTTATGTTTTGTGTGCAATTTTCTGTATATTTCACAACAAAAATTTCTAAGAATATATTGTAGATGTCTTTCCACGCCAATAAATATACTATCTAAAAGAATTTATTAAGTGAATTTAAGCCAGGTTTCCAGGTACAAGACCAATATACCAAAAAAAAAAAAATTCCATTGTATTTATATCGAGAAACGGAGAAGTTTTAAGAAATAATGCTCTTGACAATAGAATCTTAAAACTTCAACCATCTAGAAATAAATACAATAAAATATGGGAAAGACTTCTATGCTAAAAATTACTAAACTTTGCTGAGATAAATTAAGTGGAGGGATAGGCCATGTCATGGATAGGAAGACTCAACATTGTTAAGATATCAATTCTCTCCTAAATTAGCACAGAGAATTAATGTACTTCTAGTCCAATTTTTGATGTGTTCTTGAAGAACGTATGAAATGAACAACCTGATTTTAAATGTATATGGATATAAAAAGGTCTTAGAAGTACCAAGATAAACTTGAAGAGAAGTTATAATCTGAAGTACTCTTATTACTGATCTCAAGCTGCGGTTTTAGCACAGTGTGAAATCAGTACACATCTGGATAAACAGACCAATGGGACGGAACAAAGTCCAAAAGGAGACCAACATGTGTGTGGTCATTTTATACCAAAGGCAAGAGGAACGATTATTTCAAGAACTCGTGTTAGATTGATTAGAACTCTGTAATCTTTGTGTCAGTCAAGATGGATCTCACACATAAACATATAAGGTAGAATAATTCAACTTCAGAAAAAAAAAACACAGAAAAATGTACTTCAGGATACTGGGAGTAGATTTCTGAAAGCTTATGTACACCAAAACACTATGCATTTAAAAAATGATAGCCTGGGCCTCATCAAAATCACAAACTTCTCTTCCTCAAATACTTCCTGATTTCACTAAGTAAATAGACTCCCCACAGACTTACAGAAAGTGTGTGTAATCAATATATTTGACAAAGGACTCACATTTGGAATATATATAAATACCTACAAATCAATGAAAAGACAATACATAAAAGATTTGAAGAAGTGTTTTACAAAAGGTTTACCTAATTAGCCAAAAAGCGTGTGAGGAGAGCCATTGCTCATGGAGGAAATGCAAGTTCAATTCAAAATGGGTTGCTGCTAAACAACCACCAGAAGCACTGACCTTAAAATGACCCTCAGTATGTGTGAGAATGAAAAACAAGTCAGACTCTGACTTAGCCACGTTGCAAAGCTGTTTCTTACATCTGGTGAAGCTCAACACTCAGGAACCTGCATTTCCTTTGTAGAGTATGTACCAAGGGGATCAAGTGTCATGTCCACAAGGGACATGAATAAGAATTTCATAGCAACTTTACCCATTGCATACAAAACCTGCAAGTCACCCCAAGGTCCAGCAACCAAGTGGATGAATCAATTGGCATCTTGCCTGTGTGCTGTATATTTATACACAGGATAACAGAAACAAGCCAAACCTCTAATATATGCAACGACCTAGATAAATCTCAAAGGCATTATGTTGAGCAAAAGAAGCCAGAAACATAATAGTACACACCACATAATACTGTTTATATGAAGCTGAAGAACAGGCAAACTAACCTATGCTGGTAGAGGTTTGGCACAATGTACTGAAGCAAAATATCTTCATATGCTCTGACCAAGCAATTCCAGGCCTAGGGGTACACCCCACAGAAACTGTCAGAAGAGCATCATTTGTGACAGTCCCAAATTGGAATCAACCCAATTTTTCATCAGAAAATACATTTGTGATGGTTCTACAAGCCATCTGTGTAGAGCAGTACACAACAAGGAAAATCAATAATAGATCTGCACAAAATAAACCAATTCCACAAACATCACACTGACACAAATGACAGTACCCTGAGATTCCAGTTACATATGACAGAAATAATCTAAAGCAAACTATGGTGTTTAAAAACGAGAGCTTGGACAGTAAAAACTATTTTTAAAAAGCAAGGAAATGATTCTTGTAAAGCAGGAAAGTGGTGGTCAGTCCTGGAGGTCTGGAGGTAGCTAGGAGGTCTAGGAGGTCTTGGGGTGCAAACAGCATTCTGTCCTCACCTAGGGTGGTCACACAGGAGCATGCTTTTGTGTGAAATCAGTGATCTATATTTTTTATGTGTACTTTTCTGTATGTAATATTTCACAACAAAAAGTTTCGAAGAAAAAATACCGTAGACAGCTTTCCATGCCAATAAAGTCTTTACAAAGAAGAAATAGCTAAGAAACTGTCGATATCAAAATCTGTAAAACCTTGAACATAAAATGTACTTTGAAAACTTCAGCAGTTTTGGTTTGCCAGTGGTGGAAATACATCCCCTTTGAAATCTAAGGTTCTCACTTTTTGAAAACATCCAAAGTATATCTAGTTTTGCAAAATCAATATGCACTTTAGAATTAGACTCTAGTGGGTGGGAGCTGGCCCAATTTTATCCTTCACTATATCCCTGTGGCTCAGCTTTTGCCTGGGACACATTAGGGGCTCAATGAATAGGGGCCCAGTAAGCACTCACTCGCTATGTGCAATAATGGGAAAAGGCCACCTTCGCCAGGTTGCATCTTGAGCACAGGTGCTCATGGCCAGGGTGGGACACAGACTGGGACAATTTGCTTTGGGGTTTAAGTGGCCTCCTGTAACCTTGTGGCCTGTGCTACRTGGTGGCCACTGGGGGGCGCTGTTTGAAGGTGCCTAGATACCAGCTCTAAGAAGAAGTAACATCTATTGAATGCCTTTAGCTCCTCTTTATTGATCCAGAGCCCCTCAAATCAGCTCCAAGACTTTGGTTGAATTATCTTAGAAGGCACAGTCTTATGTCAGCTGTCCTATAAAGGCTAAGGTCCATCCTGTGAGTGCAGTGGACACAGCATGGAGAAGATGGACCAGAGAGAATACAGGCCCACTGGAGAAGCCTAGGCTCTGCTGCAGACTCAACCACAAAGCCAACTTATGTGACTTGTCAGTCTTCTTGGGACATCCCAGAAATATCTGAGCAAGGCCACCATTTACAGCTTGGTCTTTCTACTTCCCAAGTTGGAGGTGGTGGGGGAGAATATCATTATTTGATTATTAAAGGGTATAATGACCTCCAGAAGGATGGAGAGACCTGGGTTTCACAAGGTGGAGGGAGGGCAGTAAAATAGGGAGAGAAAATCCCAGACACACAAATGCATTCGGGAAAAGTGCATCTGAGCAGTGCGTGGTGTTTCATTTGGAAAGCCTCACTTTGCATAAACTGGCAGAGGCAGAGAAGGACCTGAATTAAGAACCCTTATTTTAAGAGAAGAGGCTGCACCCTGTGCTTCTCTTTCCCTGATTTCCCTAGAGTAACAAAAGCTCTGCTTTTCTTTGCACTGTGACTGGCAAGAAGGGAGGGAGGAGGGCAGGCAGCTGCAGACTACTGCTCTCTGCTCCTGGGCTCGCTGCTCCCCTCGTCCCAGTCAAGTTCACCCCTGTGCGCTGCAGTGGTGCATGGTCTGCAAAGAACTCAGATCTGACAGATGTCTAGGAGGCGGTGTTGCAGGCCTGGAAGGGGGAGCCTGGGTCTCTTGAGAGCCCCTATGGGAAGGATCTATCAGACTGTGTCTTCTGCAAAGAGAGAGAGGGAATGAAAGGGGAAAGAGGAAGTTGAGAGGAGTAAGGTATGAGTGGTGGGAGGGAGAGAGAGGGGTAGAAGCAAAGAGCTTCCAGCCAAGATGGAGAAGACAGGTGCACAGAAAGACAAAGGAGAGGGATGTAAGGAAAGAAGGGACACTGCTGGACACAGTGGCTAYTCCTGAGGCTTGGATCTGCAGGGCCGAGCTGCAGCTTGAGCAGGTGCAGAGCCTTTGACCAAGAACCAACCAAACAAAAGCCTCAATTATTTGCAAAGCCTGATATCCACCTGAGCATTATCTGCAACAAACTSGGTCAGCCTTAAAAGCGAGCTAGGGGTAGGGATGAGAGCCCAAGTCTTCTACATCTGATAGGTACATGGTATGTGTGTGTAGGGGTCTGGTTTTCATCTGAGTCCCACCGTGAAAAGCTACCTCTAGAATCCAGCATATAAGAAAGCAATCTGAGCAGCCTCCAACACCACATTGCTGCCTGACACCTGTGTGGCACCCAAGGGTGAGGTGCCCCAAATCTCTGTTCTGGGCTGAGCCTGCTCAGGTGTGATGTAGAATCAGAAGAGGGCCAAAGGCAGGGGGCAGGAGAACAGGTGAGATTAGCCATGCCCGCAGGAGGCTAGCTGAGTGCAAGCAGTCCTGGGAAAGAACTGGACGCCCCAGCCCAGCTCTACTCTACCTGCCATGCGATCAGGTCCTTGAGGCGGCTCAGCTTGTCCTGGTCCTCAGGGTGCTCTCTGGTGTATTCTTCAGTGAAGAAGGCCTGGGGAGGACAGACAGGGGTGTGGACTTTCCTGTTCACTTGGCATGGACCCCACGATGGATCTCTGGCCCTGGGAAGGCCTCAATTAGAGAGGTGCAGGCATGAATTCAGGGGAACTTGGTGCACTGCTGGGAGGGACCTGTGGGGGCCCGTGCTGTTGGTGCTATCTTCTCTTCCTGTAGGTGCAGATCAGTGCCCCTGAGGGTGGGTGCAAACTCCCAGAGAGGTTGTTCTCAGAGTGTGGCTCCTGGGCCAACAGCAGCACCTGGGAATGTGTTAGGCACATACTCCAGCCACGACCCACAAGAGCCGAGTTAGAATCTCTGGGAGCGGGGTCGGGAACTCCGAGCTATGAAGCTCTGCGGGGTCCTCTGATGCACCCAGCACGTTGCTTTGAGGACAGAGAGCAGGAGGAACGTCAGCTGGTGTGTGCTCACGGCCTCGCTCATCACGTGACTCTGACACTGGCAGCTCCCTAGCTCTTCCTGGGGCGCAGGCACCCGCACATACTCGCACACACACGCACAGGCACATCACTTTGTTCCCACCGCTGAGATTGCATGGGGCATCTGAAGGTAGCCGAAAGAACTGGAATGCTGGGTTTTATTTCTTCCCACATGTGCCTGTTATTTCCAATCTTCTGCCTGGACCCACCAGGTGGGACACGAAGCCCTGATGAGCCCGGTGGCTCCTGCCCCAGCACAGGGAGTGGGAGCCAGGATGGGAAGGAGACGGGAGTTAGTGGAGACAGGCCGTAGAAATTCTGGGAGCCACATGAGGTCCAGCCATAACAAGTGTCCTTGGAAGAAGGTCAGCTGCTGTAGCCCTCCCGCCACTGCCAGGCCAGGGCCTGGAAAACGGATGCCCTTACCTTCTCGTATTTGGCAAAGCCACCCATGACGGCGGGGTCCACGATGCCATTCAGGAGCATGGAGAGCGGGTTGATGGGGAGGCTCTCGTCGCCCTGGTACTGATTGATCATCATCAGGATCTTCTCGTTGGCCGTGGACATGGTTTCGATGGCATTCTCCAGGGGGCTAATTGTGGTCTGTTGAAAACAAGGTCACCAAGAAGAGCCTGAGTGGATTGCATCAGAATGAGATGATTACTGGTCCTGATTTCACTTGGGGTGGAAATTCAAATGATCCAAACTCCCCAAGGAGCTACAGCAGGATCTGCTGTAATTAGTGGGCTGGGGGAGCTATCTGCCCTGGGGAGAAACAGGCTCCTTGGGGAGACAGAGGCAGGAAGCACTGGGCACTTGACAGAGGCCCCCAAAGGGTTTTTCTACCTTTCTGGGTGAACTGTGATCCAACTCAACCCGCTCCTTGTTAGCTGAGCAGCAGTGCAGGGGTCATTATCCAGAGAGACCCAGAGCTCCTGATATGAGCACCCAGCCTGGCGCAGCTGGTCCTGACACTGGGTGATGCAGGAGGGAGCTGCTCCTAGGTAGAGCCGGGCTAATTGGGAAGGTAAAGAGAAACTTCTCCCCCGCCTCTCACAGAGCAGTATAAACAGTGCCATCAAATGACAACTGGCACCCAGTGCGGTTCTCAAGAGCTTGGGATCGCAAACCGAAAACTAAACTTGAGGTCAGCAAACATTTTCTGTAAAAGAGCCAGATAGTAAATATTTTAGGATTTGCAAACCAGATGGTCTTTGTTGCCACTACTCGGCTATTGCAGGAGGAAAACGGCTATGAGGAATATGTAAATGAATGAGCAAAACTGCTCCAATAAAGCTATTCACAAATAGGCGGGCAGGTGGAATTGGGCCCATGGGCCATCGTTTGCTGACCACTGAACTTATTAAATTAAAAGTACAAATCTTGGCTTTGTGGCTTTCTAGCTGTGTGAACTTGGGCAAGTTTCCTCAACTTCTGAGCCTCAGTTGATTTGTTGGTAAAATGGGACCGAGCGAAGCTGTTGCAGAGTTATTGGTAGCTCTTGCTGTTAATGCTCGTAGGTGTTTAAAGCTGGGAGTCAAGGGGCCTGAGAAAACGTCACGGAGAAAGGGACTTGAAAGTTTAGAGTGGGGCCTCAGTGGCTGTGTAGAGAAGGCTGAGGTCACGCAGTACCTGGCAGAGCAGAGCTCTGTGACACCCTCAGCTGGTTCCTGTGCCTACTGCATTCGAGTTGGGCAGATCAGCCTCTCTGGCCGTGTTCTTGGTCCTCTTTTAAACCACGGCCTTGAACCCCTGTGAATCACAACCATCTCACCCTCTTTCCCTGCAGCCATGGTTTTGAAGATGGGAGCTCCTGCAGTGAGAAGTCCCGGGGAGTACTGTCACCGTCACTCTCTGTCACACATGCATGCACACACCTACGGTGTCAGTCAGCTTCATGTTACTACAACAACATACCTGGGGCAAACAACTTACGAGGTTTATTTAGCTCACAGTTCTGGAGGTTCGAGTCTAGCAATGAGTAGTTCCACGGACGTGGGCCTCTGTAAAGGTGCCCCATGGCAATGATGGGAAGCCTGTGTCAGAGCAGACCACTCACACCGTGGGCCAGGAAGCAGAGACTGAGAGACAGGGTCCCACAATCCCTTTTGATGGTGCAACTTAAGTGCCGCAGTCTGGCTGGGCACAAATCACGAGCCACTCAAGAGGAACAAACTTTATTTCTGAACTCCACCAGCACACTCCACACACACTCCCCAGGAACTCTCCCAAACACCATGCGGCTCCTCTAGGAACCACCCACCGGAAATCCCTCCTCCCACACTTCCCCAACCAATGTGAACTCTCCAGGAATCCCTGCGAGAACTCCAAAGTAGCAAGCCCAGGCGGACAGCAGGGGTCTAATATACAATTGAATACACATTAACATAACCATTATGATCTCAATGGCTTGCTGGCTGGCGTCACCTCTCAACCACTCTGTTCTGGCAAAAATGCCATGCGTCATTCAGGCCCCACCTCTTAAAGGTACACAGTGCCTTCCTGCCCACCACCTTTGGACAAGGCTTTCATGCATGGACCTCTAGGGGAGAGTACCCACATTCAAACCATAGACCCCCTCACATGAGCACACACACAGCGTCAGCCAGAGGGGAGTGCCACTCAGCCTGGCACTGCTGCAGTCCCCATTCCACAAGTTGAACCCCATGGGTTAGTTATGCCACACGTGCAGACCAACCCTGCAGAGCTCCACAGGGCCAAGGTCTTGACTAAATTCTAAAGAGAATCCGGGAGCATGATTGGACTAAGCCCAGCTCTGTACCTGGAGTTCACCAATATCCTGGCAGGCCTGAAAGATGCGGGCTTTGCAGCAAGTCATTAAAAATGGAAAGACCTGTAGACTGGCTTTCCTCTTTATTTTTGAAGATATTTTTGGAGTCCCAAATCTGTCCTCATTATAGCCATCGGGAATGGAGAATGAGAATGAGAATAACTTTGGCTTCCCACCTAAGGGCATTTATGTAGACCAAATTTATAACTCCCAGAGAAGGGTGACGGGGCGTGTATTTGGCGAAAGGTGTGGTTCCAGGAGCTTGTAACAGGCACACAATTAATGACCATGGTGATGGGGATGGGTCCACTATCCATCGTCTTCTCCTGCCAGCCCAGGTGTTCCTATTTACCCCCTCCAGCCACAGGGCTTGGTGCTTGATGGAGGGCAGGTGGTAGCAGGTGAGGCGAGAAGTCAGGTGCTCCTGATTCCCAAGGCAGYCCCTCATGTAGATCCCACGTTACCAAACCTGCCACCAACTGTGGCTGGGACTTTGTAAAGCCCTCTGCTTCCTCAGCTGAGCCTCAATTGTCTATGGACCGTGTAGGTACAACACCCCTGGTCTACTTGATGTGAAGCAAAAAAATGAGTGATTAAGGGAAAGTGCTTTGGGGAAAAAAATGTACAGGTGAAAGGGGAGGGGCTCAGACAGAAAGAGGACGTGCTTACAATCCCTGGCTGTTAGGTGGCCTTTAAAACTGTTTGACGGCATCCCACCAGTACAGCCTTCATACATCCGTGTGGTGTGCTCATAACCACCTCGGACTCCAACACTGATGGCTTTGGCTGTTCAAGTCCCATCCTTGAGTCTCAGTCTCCTCAGAGGTGAAACAGTACAGCTGGATGAGAATCAGGAAAGACACTGGCTAACAGCAGGCCAAACCCAGTCCACGGGGTCTGTCCTTCAGCAAGCACAGTGATTCTAATTTTTCCAGGTTAAATTGAGTTGGGGGAGGAGTTGCCATTGCAGCTGGCCACAGACTCCACTAGCCCCTGTGGTCTTCATGTGACTCGTTTATTTACCTTATCTTGCCGAACTCGGAAGACATTTGAATTTCTAGCTTTGGGACCTACTGACCCTGGCATCCCTTTCAGCTCTGAAATTCCATAGTTTTGCAATCCCTATTTCCCAGATAATGCAAACTAAGAAGAAAAGAAACAGTGCTCAGCCAACCTGAGTCATACAGCTCATTAATGACCGAGTAGATTCGAGTGACCCCCAGACTTGGGCTCATTGTAAAGACTACATTTCTCAGGGCCAAGAATGAGTAAAAGCCCTCAATAAATATGCAGAACATACACAGCAAGGCCGTTGGAACTCATGTCTCTATACAAACCATACTGGGGTCATGGCAATTTATGAAAGAAAGAAAAGGAAACAAGATGCAAGTTCATATAATTAAAAAATGGGCTGAGAAATGAATTCACTTAGCAAGCATTAAACTTCTAAGTCTGAGGCATTCTGAAGTCCTTAGTAACTCATCTTAGGCCACAAAAAATGAATTTGTTCTACTCAACTTTTGGGGTGTTTTTCCAACTCCTTCTACTAGAAGATATTGGGATAAAAAAATAAAGTTTTTTAATATTTCTTCCCTAATTTCATAATGCTGAGGTCACAAAGAAAGATGCAATTCAGATATGATGGGTGTCTGCATTTTATTAAACTCATCGATTTACTTAAATATCCTTGAGCATCTATCATGGGCTCATGACTACTCTTGGCATTTGGAATATGGCAGAGAATAAAATAGGAAAAATCTCCATCTTCCTGGAATTGATATACTGATGGAACTTGTCTAACACATTATATTTAATATTCTATTAATGTTAAAAATCAACACATAGGAAAACTACTCAGTCCATCAGGAGGTGATAAGGGCCAAGGAGTGAGGAGCACTGGAATGTGCTCCCTGTTTGCCTACAGAGTAACAGGAGTCATGGAAGAAGAGGCACCTTGCTAAGCCCTGCCAGAGCACAAGGCTCTGCTGGAGCTAAGGGACAGAGGCCACCAATCGGTGGAAAGTGTCTGTCTGCTTCCTCACCTTAAAAAAAAAAAAAGGATTAATAATAATGTCCCTTGGCATTCCTGAGGGATGAGTTCCATGACGTTCCAAGGACACTGGAGTCTATGAAGGCCCTTATACAAAAGTGCACAGTATTTGGTATGTGCCCATCCTTCCACATATCGCAGATGGTCTCTGGATGACTTATGATTCCTAATACAAAGCAAATGCTGTATAAATATTGTTACAGTGCACTGTTTAGGGAAAAATGACAAGAGAAAAGGGTCTGTATGCATTCCATTCAGATATAATTTTTACCCCGAGTATTTTCCATTTGTGGTTGGTTGGGCCATGGCAGGAGCCTGGGCCTGCTGAGGGCTGACAGTATGCATCTCCCAGGGTATTTTGAGGATTACATGGATAAGGCCATTCAGCATGTGACACAGTGCCTGGGACACTTGCTAAAACTTATCCCAAACCCAGGGCATGCATACTTCTTTCCTTTCCAGGGCACTGTGTGCTAGGGTAGGCTGGGGTCACTCTGGAGGAAAAGGAGAGAATGAGACCAGTCCAGGTGGCTCATCTGGGATTCACCTTGTTTATTAACCTTGAACAACCCGGGAGCTCACTCTGCAGCTCAGCCCCTCACCGGTACAATGGGGAGAACAATGTCAGCCTCACAGGGTCGCTGGGTTCAAGTCAGATGGTGCAAGTGAGCAGCTGGGTACATGTTCAAAAGTTTTTGTTGCTGTATTCATTCTTATTCAGCTTTCTCGAGGTCTAGGCCATGTCTATAAAAAGGGTTGGAGGGCTACCAAGCTGCGGGCTCACTGGAAAGGAAGTGGGCATTGGGGACAGACTAACAATCCAGAAGCTCAAAAACATCAGTCAGACCATGTCCTTTTGCCCATAACTTTTTCACTTATAGAAAAGATGAGGTCCTACTGATGGTCTAGAAGCAGAATACTGTTATTCACCCTTCACTTGTTCTGATCTGGATAAAAATGTGCTCTGGCTCCACAGCCACTTCCTAATCTCCTCCAGATCTTTGCTCTAAACCTTTTGACAGGGAAGCTCATGCTATTTTAAATAGCCACCCTTCCTCCATCACTTTTCTGTTTTATTTTTCTCCATCTTGGTTATCACCAACCAACATAGTATGTATTGTTTTGACTCTTCAGTCTGTCTTCCCCTTTAGAATGCAAGCTCCATTTCAGAATCTTCAGGTCTTAGAACAGCACTTGACAGATGCTGGGATTCATGAAATGGGTTTTGAATGATTCGATAAGTAAGACATCCTGAATGAGTCCCCATTTATAAGGTCTCCTCACAGCCACAGTGGACCTTCCTCTGGAATAGCAAGATTCTTAGCTGCCAGAGGACATGGGGAACCTAAGGCTTGTGGAGAGGCGAAGTATATGCCATCTGCATAAGAGAGTTCAAGCATTTGGATTCTGGCCAGAAATGTGGCTGTCTGTGTGTCTGCCATAATTTGAACCCAGACTCACCTGGGACATGTGAACCACCTCGAACCAGCGCAGGATGCCCGGCAGCTTGTAGGCAGTCACGAAGGAGGTCCTCTCAATCCACATCGACTGTTTGGGGAAGGGTACGAGGCAGGAGAGCAACACACTTATGACACCTGGGCATCAGAGTAGCTTGGCAGAGACCCAGCCAGCCCCAGGACCTCCCATCCACCCAAAAGCAGAGGAAATATTGCAAGATCCAGAAACACTCTCGCCCCACCCCGAAAACTTCTCAGCCAATGTGAATCTGAAGCTCTCTCTGGACTTAGGCCAAGTAAGTTCTAACTGGATTTATTGGAGTCTGAATTTTCAGGGAATATTGAACTTGTCCAGATGCATTTCTGTGGGGAGGGCCCATAATGTTCATTAGATTCTCAAAGGGATGGTGACTCCCAAAATATTAAGAAATACAGAGGCAAAGAGCAGAGAGAAACTCAAAGCACCTTCTAACTTCAGCCTCAGACTTAGGGATGGAAGACAGGTCCCAGCTGGAAATACACACACACACACACACACACACACACACACTCACACACACCAGGGACTAGCACACAGGGCATACGGGTGACCACATCATTGTGGCTTCTTATTGGTATGTACTGGAAGGTTTGACCTCTGCTTAATCTGGGCTTTACCTCCTGAAGTGCCTGAATGTCCTGTGACTGATAAGGTCACTTGACAGGCACTCAGGGGACATGTGGGATGGGGAAAGAGATGAGGCTGGGAATGGGTGCCATCAAACCTTTGGGCATTTGTTTCCTTTTCTATAATTTTGGGTCAAGTTCTCCCATTCTGGGCTGGTGGATCCACACCCTGGTAGCGTAGGGCAGGGGACCTACTCACAGCAAACTCATTCTCAGGGTCTACTGTCCCCTTGCGCACAGGCCGGGAGTAGTGGAACCTTTGCACATAGTTGGATTTGTAAAAGCTGAAAGACAGAAAGAAGGTGAGTCTCCTGGTGGCCAGGCCCAGCAGCTAACTTCCCGTTGGCCCCTGCACCTGAAATCCATTACAGTAACCTCAGGTCTGGCAGAGTCCTTGTGGCAGCATTTACATTTAGGGTCTATGTTCTGGGCTCCATAACAGTGACCCTTGCACAGGCTTTCCTGGCGGGGAGACTGAGAGGGGCAGAATCGTCTTAAGCCCTTCTAAGAACCCGGCACCCCAAGAATAATGGCCATGGAGTTGAATGCAGATGGGGCAGGCTGGTCATTTCCTGTGGCCCCAGTAAAGGATCTAGAGATTCAGAGGGATGTGCTCAGTGTCCCAGGAGTAGCCTCCAGGGATTTCTTCAAGAGTCATAGTCATCCCCCAAATCATTCCCTGACTCTCCAGCAGGGTTTTCTAACAACATTTCCAGCAGGGCACGGTGCTAGCTGTGAGCTGTTGTCTCCTGTCCGTGGGAGCCTGACCAAGAGGGTGAGGGAGGCTCCAATTCTCTTGGCCACCCCTGCTCTACTGTGGCACGAGAGTGAGGCTGCTCCAGGGCCTGTGTCCCCCTGCAGAGGAGGCCCTTCCCCTCCCAAAGGAGCTCCTGCTGTTTACGGCTCCACCCAGAGAGGAAGTCTTACTCTAAGACATGCAGATGCTCTTGGGTACCTGGGTCTGGGACACAGGTGGGGGATGGTCTGGGCAGCTGTGGGGGTACAGCTTAGTGCCCCACAGATTGTCTCCCTTGGCCTCATCGGTGACCTTGCAATCTGGTGTGGGACGGATTGATACCTGCCTCCATGCCGGTTCCTCTATTGTAGTCTGAGCACGCCCACTGTCAACAGCCAAACTCACCCAATGCTAAAAGAGGTCCCTTTGGGAGAATGTGCTCAGCATGTCCAAGCTGCCTGACCATGTCTCCCAATCCCCAACCCTCCTGTCACCTGAATAGCCCACATTCTGGCTGCAGTTTCCTTGGGGCCACTCAGGGATCAGCCTGAGCAACAGCTCTCTATGTCCAATTCAGTGATTCCAACAATGCCACTGAGGATTTGCTATGCTGCAGAGTTAGCCACAACCTGGCCCTCCCATCCACCTCCAGTCTCAGCCTGGTTGGGGACAGAGTCCTGTTAATTGGGCTTCTCCCAAGAGGAAAAGGGGGAACAGATTGGCCAAGGTGAAGAAGGGCTCTGGGGCTGCCTTGCTACAACCTAAGCAGGACACCCTTTTTGAGTTCCCGCCCCTGTTCCTCTTCCCAGTGGGCTCTGGGTCTTACTTTATGATCTGGTCAGGCACTGGCTTGTTCTTGAACCGTGGGTGCTCATCTAGGACAGGCTGAACAGTAAAACACTGGATATCTGGAGTCCCTGAAGTTAAGGACTTGAAACACAAGTCTGCTGACCACAGGGACAGTCCCAAATTCACCAGTTCCAGCTGAGAGCTTACAGGCCATTCCTTCTGGAAGCCCTCATTTTTCAAGGATCAACTGCATGTTGCTGGCCTCTAACAAGGTGCTAGTGACCAGTTAGCAGTCGCCATGGTCCTTAGCAGGGCTGCCAATCACCTGGCAACCCTATCTCAGGGCTCTGCTCCTGATAACAGAGTTGGTTAGTGGTGGGTAATCATAATTATTATTGTTATATTATCATTAACAATAACACCATCTAATGGATTTATAGCTCCCCATCAATTGCAGAGTACCTCTCCTCATGGTCTTATTTAATCTCCAATTCCACTGGATGGCATTTAACCTAAATCATCCCTGTTGAGGTCACAGAAGTCTGGCAACTTGTTGAAGGTCACACAACTTATAAGAACAGAGTGTGGGTTTGCACTTGGGTCTTTTAACCCTATGCTCAGAATTCTTTAGACTTGTCACTCAAAGGTGGCCCTCCAGCTAGCCCCATAGCATCATCAGAGTTGTTAGAAAGAGCATATCTCAAGACATTGAGTCAGAATCTGATTTAAACGATCCTTGGGTGATTCATGTGCACCATAAAGCTGAGAAGTATTGCATTAGAACATGCAAACGTGCACTCCAACATCCTGCGCCAGGATTGTAAAGAGTCTTGTTCAGCCTTAGTGGGAACGAGTTCCAAGCTTGATTAGTGATGCCTGCCATGGGCACAGATCTGGAGAGGCACTCTGTGGGCCAGGTCATGGTCATGGCTATTCTGGACCTGTCTTCATTCATTTGAAGCTGGGAATGCGGCAAATGAAATGAACAAATTCAGTGGTTCACTGGTCCGATCCCAACCACTGTTCTCTTTCCTTACTTTCCATTTTTTTCTTTATTCATCTCTTCTTTTAGATATTCAAGTGCTTTCCTCCCTCTTTTCTACCCAAAGAGAACCATAACTTTAAATGTATCCCCGGGTCTGATACTCTTGCTAGCTCTCAGAGTTACATCGGTGTGGGTATAACCCAGGTTTCCACCATTATCTCTGGATATTCAACAGAGTCTACTATTCCCTGTGCTTGGAATATTTTGTTCTACTACCGTGCCTCCCCTGTGAACCCTTCAGGGAGATGTCAAATGCCAGAGTCCATGAAGACTAACTTCACCCTAGTTGGAAGCTGTTTTCTTTCCTTGGATGTCCAGGCACTGGTCAGTACTTTCTGTAGGATCAGTTTTCAGCTACCATCTTCCTCCCTCTCCTGCCACCCCATCTCCCGGAGAGGGAAAGCTTTCTGATGGAAGAGGCTCTAACTTTTTGACACACAATAAATGGCTAAAACCAAATTCCAAGTTCAATTCAATTGCCTCTCATTGATAAATTTACTCTAGGCTACTTTATTGGGGATTTACTAGTTTTTACCTTTAGAGAGTATTTCCACATTGAAGGAAAGAGGGCAATGTTGAACCTAAATGGACCACTCTAGATGGAAGCATTTATCAGGAAAACCATTTTTTTTCTTAAGCCCTGTGGCCACCAGCCTACCCTGGGAGGGAGTCACTCTGGATTAGCCTACGACAGAAACTAGCCAACTATTTGTGATTTAGATTCAGCTTATCTCCTGTTTCTATATGGTCCACAAGCTAAGCATGGATTTTTTATTTTAAAATCACTAATGGAAAAAGAGTATTTTGTGACATGATAATAAAGTGTGAAAAGCAGAGCAAGTGCAAAATTTCAGTGCCCATAGAGAAGGTGTAACTGGAGCACGGCCACGCCCAGCTACCTGTGCATCAGCAGTGGCTGCTCTCCAGCCAGGCAGCAGGGTACAGGGCTTATGACACAGAGGGCATGGCCCTCGAAGACTAAAACATGCCCCATGTGGCTCTCTACAGCAAGCTTGCCCACCCCTCTATTAGAGAAGGTTCTAGGCCATGTCTACTGAACTTGGCCACTGGCCTTGATCCAACAGGAGGATCCAGGCTTGACATCAGCATCTTAGGTGTGCCAGAGGAATGTGGGTGAAGCTGGCCTGTCATTCCTGCCACTTGGGATCCATGCATGGAATTGTGGCAACCGTAGACCTACAGAGACCTTTGCTTTCAAACATCTTCTGCCAGCTGGGTGTCAATATGAGCCAACTATGAGACCCATAAATTGCTTGGCCACTTTTTAATAAGTGAGGGCAAGAGAGCTAAGAGTTCAAGATCCTGGTAGAAAGCAGGCCTGGACTCGATCCCTAGCTCTGCTGCTTCCTCACCRTGACCTTGAGCTGCTAAAGATCCTGGAGCCCTGACTTTCTTAGTCACGAAATGCAGAGAGTACTGCTGACCCCTCACAGGATGGTCATGAGGAAAGGTGAAGATGGGTGTATCAAGGGGCTGGGGCGCAGAAGAGGTCAGCACACTCTATTCATCAGCTTTTCGAAAACTGATGGTGTGACAGAACACGGTTTTAGAGACATATAGATCTCAGGATTCAAATGCCAACTCCATCTCTAACCAGCTTTATAACCATGGGCAAATTACTTTCTCTCTCTCTGCCTCACATATTCCTTCTCTGTGAAACAGGGAAAATTAACACCCATCATACAGCATTTTATGGGGTTTAAAGAAATAATGGTTATAAAGCATTCTGTCTCACCAAGAGGACAGTTAGCAAATGTCAGCCCTCTCCCTTTGCCTTTCTACCTGGCTCCTGGCACTGACTCAGGCCTCAGAGTCCCAACTATGATGACCTGGTCCAGGAACACCTACCCCTCCCCTGCCCTAGTTAAACGAGCATGCGCAGTTCCACACCAGCATGTCCACCTGGCAGGCCCCGGTGTAATCCCTGTCTTGCTGGCAGCCACGCCCTCTCCTGCAACCAGCGGGCGCCACCACCAGTTGCATCTCTTCCTGCAAATGCCCGTGGCAGAGCAGCCATGAAGGGCAGGCAAGCATAATAAAAAGGTCACAGATGAATATTTATCACCCCAGGGAAAAATATTTGGATTAAGGTTTGGCAGACTGAAGGGCCCAGCCACGCAACCTGTCAATCCGTTTTAAAGGCTGTAACTTAATCTGTGCTAAAGGGCGCAATGTAGGGGAGCCAGGCTGGGTCAAGGTGCTCCTGGCTCAGCAGCCAGCCCTGAACCCTGCCTCCTGCCCGGAGTCAGTGTGGCTCCTGGCCCTGGGAACACGGGTCTGCATCCTGCTCACGCACTGTCACCTCTGCCCTGCTCTGTGCCCGGCAGCCAGCGGTTCTGCCCTGCTCCCTCCTTCCTTCTCCGTCTCTCTCTTTCTGCTTTCTCTCATTTTTCTCTTTCTTTCTATTAATCAACAAACCTCTCCTGGCAGTGGGCTGGGTGCCAGGGCTCGTGGGCGAGGGCCACAGTGCAGGAACGGGGCATAACAAACATCATTCTCTTGGTGCCAACTTCTACCCTCATCTCATGTGCCTTCAAGAAGCACGTGAGGAATACAGATGAAGGTCGATTCTCCAGAGAAACAAACACAGTGTGAGAAAACATGGTCCTGGGGAGTCCTGATAAGGCCACTTTAGAAAAGGTGACCAAGGAAAGCCTCTGCCAGGAGGGAAGCCAAGTTCAGATCTGACAGGTGAGCAGGAGCCAGCTGCCTAAGAAATTGGGGAAGGGCAATTTATGCAAAGGGACCAGAGAAGGCCTAGAGGTGGGGACAATTGGGCATGTTTAAGGAACAGAAAGGAACTGGTATGGCCAGAGGGAAAAGCAGTGGTCAGAGAGTGGACAGCCTTGCAGCCCTGCTTAGGAGTTTGGTTTTATTGTAACAGCAATATGGGGTCCTTTCAGTCCTTGAAAACATCTGTGCTCCTTCCCACAGTGTCCTGCAAGGATCATATTGTCATAAATATTTAATCCTGCATTTCGTTGTTCAGAGTCTATTTTACTTGCTACCTTCTAAGCTCCCTGAAGACAGGACCCCTTAGTAAGTTTAGCGTTGTCTGATGCTTGGCAGAATCTGGACTTCAGAGTATTCATGAGAGCCAACAGTTGAGGAGAGACTGCATGGGTCATTGGGTGCTGCATTCAGAGTGCACAGTCATCCTCYGTACACCCGAGGGTTGGTTCCAGCAGATGCTAAAATCCCAGGATGTTCAAATCTCTTACATAAAATGGCTTAGTAGTCTCACATCCTCCTGTACAAGTTAAAGGCCTTACTAAATGACTTCTAATACTTTTAAGTCATTATAGTATCTAATACACTGTAAATCCTAGGTGAAGAGCTGCTATATAAGGGAATAATGACAAGAAAAAAGTCGGTTCACATTTGGCACAGACTGTGTTTTTCCACCCCAAATATTTTTGGTCTGTGGTTGGCTGAATCCAGGGGTGTAGCACCCTTGGACACGGAGGGCTGGCTGTACTGAGATGGGCTCTTTAGATCCCATGCTGGACACTAAAACTGGCACACCAGGGTGGGCAGCAGCTCTGAGCTCTACGGGCTGAGGTGCCCACAGTGCTGCTCATGCCCAGCACCGTGGCTGGAATGTCCAAGGATACACTGGCCTGGGGCGTTCTTCACGTCGTCTCCGGGGGCAGAAGTTGTGTTCATCTTCTCCGCGTTGGGAAACTGGCTCATCAGCTGCAGCTGGAAGTCTTCTCTTCGCTCATACTCCTTCCCTCGGTAGATGAACACTTTGTTCTGCAAGGAAGTGACACCCATCAGAGACCTCAGAGCCTCCTGATGTGGAGGATGTGGCCCAATCATGGCTGGAAGGCTTATGAAATGAGCATGGGGCTGGGGGGCCTTCGATGGCTCCCTGTCCCCTCAGTTTCCCACCAGAGGAGGGAGGAGCTCAACTCCTGACCTAGCGGGGTGTGCCGCTTCTTTAAAGAGCTCCTTCCAGGAAGGGAAGAGTGTGCACGCAGAGAATCTTCTGCAGACCATCCCACGTGGAGCTTCCAGAATACTTTTTTCCTCATGTTGCACCCCATCATACCCACTGTCCTGTTTATGTGGCCACAATGTTTCCCTCCTGGCCTTTAATGTGACATGGGCTGGGCCTGGGGGGACAAAATGTTCAAGACCTCTTCTCCTGGCTTCGGCCATGAGCTCCCCAAAACATTCTCTTTACCCTTCCTCAGCCACGTCAGCCTCTTCTAGACCAGCAGTCCTCAACCAGTGTCTGTGCCCAAGGGACACTAGCAGTGTCTGGAAACATTTGTTGGTTGTCATGCTGAGGGTGAGGAGTGCGACTGAGAACTGGGGCAGAGGCCAGAGATGCCATTAAACATCCTGCAACACACAGGACAGTCCCCACGACCGAGCAGGATGGGCCCAAGATGTCAACAGTGCCAAGGCCGAGAAGCCTTGTTCTAGAAAGCATCTGTGCTAGGTGTGCTGCCTCTAATGGTCCCTGAGTCCTTCTGCCCAAGTCTCTCTGGCCTCTGTACACCAGACCTCCAACCCTGGCACCATCAGAAGAGCCCAGGAAACCTTTAAAAGTTCAGATTCCGGGGCTGGGGCTGAGGCTCAGTGGTAGAGCGCTTGCCTAGCATGTATGAGGCACTGAGTTCGATTCTCAGCACTATATATAAGTAAATGAATAAAATAAAGGTCCATACATCTAAAAAATATTTTTAAAAAAGTTCAGATTCCCTACAAATAACCATAATTGCTGTCGAGGATGTGGGGAAAAGGCCCACTTGCCCATTGTTGGTGGGATTGCAAATTAGCACAACCACGTGGGAAAGCAGTATGGAGATTCCTCAAAAGACTAAGAATGGGACCACCATGTGACCCAGCTATCCCACTTCTTGGTATTTATCCAAAAGAACTAAAATCAATATACTCTAGTGACGCATGCATGCCAGCACAATCCACAGTAGCTAAGTTAAGGAACCAGCCCAGGAGCCCGTCAATAGAGAGTGGATAAAGAAAATGTGGTATATATACACAATGGAGTTCTACTCAGACATAAAGAAGAATGAAATTGTGCCATTTGCTGGTAAATGGATGGAACTGGAGAACATGATACTAAGTGAAATAAGCCAGACTCAGAAAGCCAAGGGTCGAATGTTTTCACTTTTATGTGGAAAATAGAGGGGAAAAAAGGAATTTTAAAAAGGGGGGATCTTGCCAAAACAGAAGGGAAAGCAGTAGAATAGAAACAGGGGACCAAGATTGAGGGAGGAGGGAAGAAAGGGGAAGGACTGGGGAATGAAGTTGACCAAATTATACTGGGTGCATGGACTACAGTGCATTCTGATTTTATGTATAATGATAAGGTATCAATTAAAAAATAAACAGATTTTTTAAGAGCAATAGAGTAAAGGAAGGGGACCTAGGGAGGAAGGAGGGCAGGGAGAGAGGAAGTAAAACAAAGTCCAGATTCCCAGGCCTCACCCCAGTCCCCTGAGATGGAGCCTACAGGACCTGGGCCCAGGAACACATGTTCTGAACAGATTGCTCAGGGGACCCTGAGGTGACATCACTTTGGGAAGCCACCTCCACTCCACCCAGGAGAGCCTCCCTGGCTACGCCATCAGGTGCTCATGACATCACTCCCGTGGCTCCACCATGGTAACCATACCCCCTTGATAACCATGGTGACTTAGCTCCTTGACTGTGCTGTAGGCCGAGTGAGGTCAGGGGTCAGGTCTGCTCTTTCCTTGGGCTCTCTCTGTGCCCAGAATAGAACCATAAACTCAGGGACTGGAAGGAAGTTGACAGGTGACCTCATCCCTCCACATCGTGGATAAATGGGCCTCTCGCACAGTGGTTCAGAAACAATGCTCCAGGAACCCTGAGGGTCCCCAAGACCTTTCCAGAGGCTCACAAAATCAGAACCGTTTCACGATAGTTTAAAAGCTGTCTTTGGATAGAGTGCCAGGGATCCCAGCAGCCTGCAGCAGGGCCCGGAGAGCCAGGCCAACTGATTCGCGTGGCCTGCCCTGCGGCTACAGAAGGCGTGGCGCCTCAGTGAAGCCATTAATTGGCAAGC